TCGCACCTTAGGAATGTTAAAGAGGGTGGAAAGGAGAAGGGAAGAAGAGAAGACAGTGCAAAATTAGTTGAGACGATGCTGAGGCCCCAGTTTAGATTGATATCTGGCATTGGACCTCAGTCTCTCCTAGCCCCATGACAATAACAGGCATTGGCATTGGGCCTCAGTTTCAGCTTCCTAAAAAGGCGCGGTTCAACTGGGTTGTGTACGTGTACTTTCAGCCGTAAGCGCGGCTATCTGGCCCGAATCACGTCACTTTGGTAGGAAATCTGGGGACTGAGGGGAGCCAGCGATAAAATGAGCGTGTTTTACCCAGGTGCCTATGGGCATCCCAGGGTGCAATTAATTTAAAGGAATTGTCAATATCTAATTACCTATAAAGTCCTCGTCATATTAGTGATTTTATATAAAACATTGATTCGTTTTTTATTACTTAATATTTTTTAATAAATAAAGTAATCAAGAAATGACTAATTTGAAACTGAAGATCTACACTCGCGCTAACCCATTATACTAGCGTTAATAATTTAAATCAGCAAATTGGTTTCTGTTCTTTCTTTTGTAAAATATGCGCCATGAAATAGGAAACTGGCGAAACATACATGTTCTAACCATAAGTACTATGCGCCTCTTATGTAAGAGAGACATACACAATCTGGTACGGTTGTGCTTGGCGCTGTTGAAAGATTACGTCTGGCTGGATACTCGGACAGAAGCCAGGTAATAGACGATTATCGTGATTATTCAAATACTGCTTTATTGAACATTTTCTACCACAACATCTAAGGTCATTAGCGGAGTTTACAAAATACAACTATAGTGTGGGGCTTGGTGGTGAAGCCACAGGTAAGAAAGATTTAAATGGTTAATGGTGAAAAGCAAAATAAGTGTACTAAATTAGGGAATTAGATCGTGAAGGATATGTATGCGTCTGAGGAAGGAGAACAACTTGTCAAAGCAGAAAGTGTGGGATTCTGTAAGGATGTCTGACATGTTTGGAGGTCGGTGAAGGGAGGATAGGTGGAGAAAAGCAAAGGTGCGGGCTGTAGTAAAATGTGGACAGGACAAGAGAATGTGTGGGACTGTAAGAGGGACATTACATAGGGGACATAAGGGCGGATCAGAACGTAATATTAGATCGGCGTGTGTAAAGTCTCTTGGAGGTAGATCATGGATGGATTATAAGAAGCAAAGATATTACGAAGGCCAGGTCTGTGAGTATGGAAACAGCGATATTCCAGTGAAGGATTTACAACTTAGTTGTTCTATAGGTGATAACGGTTATAGTGCATATTGGAGAATTTGAAGGGGGAGGGGCTAAAGGTGAGATAAGGAATTAGAGGGAGGGGGGTGTAGTATCAAGAGGGGGATGGTCTGGGGAAGGGCATAGTTGTGACATAAGGGATCCATGTGTGTATCCAATAGGGAATGAAAGGAATAGAGGGGAGGGAGGGAGGGTTAACGTAGGTGTAGTTGGAGCTGAGGGGGATGGGCTGTGTTGGAAGGGAGTGGGAGGGAGCTGTAGGGGGAATATGAGTTGGAGGAGGATGGATATCGGTAGTAGTTGAGTTGAGGGGGATAGGTTGGAAGAGAGTAGGAGGAAGGGATGTAAGGGGAATGTGAGTATGAGGAGGATGGATGGAATTCTTGATGAACAGATTGCAACAGGAAACGAAGGGAAGAACAAGAAAACAACACGAATATGCCACATCGAAGGTTTTTCGCTAATGCTTCGTCAGGGCATACATGACAAGAGGTACATAGAGGATTAATTTATACATATGTTAGGTGGTTAGGACACGTCGGTAATCAGGTGAGCGACGACCTTGGCTAGTTCGTGGCTCCCTGTAGCGGTGTTTATGTTGTTAGTTGTATGAATGAACGCCGCTTCTACCATCTTCCTTTGGTGTGGGGCCAGGCCTTGCTTTATGATAGAGGCCTGGGACCATTTGGGGAGGTGACCGTCGGTGTCTACGTGAACAACGAATGCGCTTCTCGTGCAGTCTCGCCTATGTAGAGGATGGATATCGGCAGTCACTTTGAGTGTGGAGTTGGTAGGAGAGTTTTATGGACAGAGGTTTTCTTATGAAGGGAGGAGGAGGAGACCGGTGTCTGAGGAGTGAAGGCAAAGGTAGGTGGGGTGAGTGTGTGGTAGGAGGAGTGGAACGTTTAGTCTGTCTGCTGCAGGTAGTGTGGGAAGGGAGAGGGGAAGGCGTTGGGGCTGTAGTTCTGATTGGAGTGTCTTGTGGTAAAAGAATTTGACAGGGGAAGATAGGAGGTAGAAGTGGAAGTGGGAAAGTAGGTATAAGGGAGGGTGTAGGAACATCTTGGGAAGGAAGGAGGGCAGAGCGTGTGACATTACTGGAGTAGGGAGTATGAAAGAAACCTCGTCAATATGCTTCTTGTCCTGCTTCATGCAGAATGAGACCAAGTCTGTATATGAGTTGCTACCGGAGACTCAAATTTATAGATGGGGCAGCCTCTATAAAATACATTTTGGGGGCCGCAGCGGTTAGCACATGTGCGTGTTTGTGCAGAGCAGTTTGATCGGTTATGACCAGGTTGGGCTGTGGAACGGCAATGTTTGGAAAAATGTCCTAAGTGCCAACATTGACAGGGAGGAGTTGGTATGGTGAGACAGGGAGGATTTCTACCAATGTAGATACGAAGAATCATGGTCTTTGAGGCAGCTGAGTAAGTACTCTCCATAATCTGACCAATCGAAACCATTGGACAGCTTGTTGGGGAGATAAGAGACAGTTCCAGTACAAGTATTAAGAGTTGGATAAGGTTCTGCAAGAATGGGGTTGCCAGATCAGTTAGATTTGATAACGATGTAGTTTCAGTTTCAGATGTAACTGTACCGAGACAGGAACGATCGGGTCGGGTACGGAAGGGGACTCTGCCCACTTGCTTTTGGAGACATTGTTGAAAGAGAAGTGTTGCCTGAGTAAGGGGCTGTAGGATCACGAAAAATCGGCCCCATTTGGCTGGGCTAAATAGAGTATTTAAGACATTTGTAGAGTTGGGTGGTAGAAGGACGGGGATGTGTGAAGAGGGAGTATTGTTGAGGGGGTAGTATTACAGAATGATGGAGAATAAGGCTGTAAGGTAGTAATAAGGGAAGATGAGGTGATTGATGAAGAAGGTTGTGGGGATAGAGGTGATGAAGTTGAGGAAGTTGGGAGAGTAGTAGTCTCGACTTGGGTGTATAATGCACAAGTAGGCATTGAGGAGTGGGTAGTAGTTGTAGTGTTCAGAGTCATGGTCAAAGGAGAGCCAAGGGTCAGGGAACTGGGAGAGTTTGAATTGGTGGGGCTATTTGATGAAGAGCAATCCTCATTGCCTCTAAGATGGGTATTACATCTTCATTACTGGCCATGGAAGCCTTGACTGTGTTGGCAAAATAAACAGTCCACCTCTCAGGGTCCCCTTCAGGGATAAGAGCCAAACTAAAACAGGGGTATACCAGCCCATGGTTCCCTCAGGCCGTTCAGGACTGGCACAAAGGTAACCTTTCATCTTTTCAGCACGGTTCTTGCACCTTAGGAAGTAGATACTAGAAGGGGTTGGAGAAGCGGCGGAAACGAAAGAGCTGGAGGGAGAAAAAATATGGAAAATTAGTTGTCGGGGACCGAGGCCCAAGGTAGGGGAGATCCACACATTAAGTCTCAGACCCTGTCTCCTAAGCCCCCCACCCACACTATAATAACGGGTAAGGATTGGGGGAGGGGTGAAGGCTAGACAACTAAAACGAGGGAATATCTTGCCCATGGCTCCCCCAGGCCGTTCAGGACTGGCGCAAAGTCAGTCTGTCATCCTTTCAGCATGGCTTTTACACCTTAGGAAGTGGATGGTAGAAGGGGTTGGAGAAAAGATCATGCAAATTTAATTAAGTCGAGGGCTGAGGCCCAACGTAGGGGAGATCCCCAGCATTGGGTCCGAGTTCTCGTCTCCTAAGCCACACCACGACAACAATGGGCAAGGGAATGGGAGATAGTAAGAAAACTTTTATCTTCATAAAGGTGTAGTTCAGGCCTGGTTTACATGCAGGTGACTATCTGGGCAGAATCGTCCTACTTTAATGCCAAATCTAGGGGCTGAGGAAAGCCCATGAAAACCAGACCTAGAGCATTCTTTTTCTTCAGGCTTCTCAAGGCTTTTGTCATCTGGGAGGTAACGCCAATGGGGTCGCATAGCCGCATCCGCCCTTCGTTTCTCACTCTGAGGGTCCCTCATGGCAAGCCGCTAGGCAGGGACTTGGCCCATCTCAAGCTCCTCACGACAGGTTTGATCGATCTACCCAAGCCATTACTTCCTAGGTCGTCCCACAGGTACTCACCACCCAGAGCTGTCTCGAACATAGACAACCTGGTGGGCAAGATCATCCTATGGGAAGTGAGCCAGGTGGCCATATAGCCTGAGTAGGCGATCATGGATTATGCAGGTAACAGGTCTTGTACCAGTCTCACGGTGCAACCGTTGGTTGGACATGTGGTCCCACCAGCATTACCCCATGATCTGGCGCAAGGACCTATTATAAAAAGTATCAAGACGAGACTCCAAGGCACAGGATAATGTCTAGGTTTCACTACTGTATAGCAAAACTGGCATTTTCAGGGCCTTGAAAACGCGTAGCTTGGTCCTTCTGCACAAATACAAGCATCTCCAGATACTATTGTCGATGTTTAATATTTAATGTTTGAAAATAAATGTACTAGACATCAAAGGTCATGTAGCACTATGGTAAAGTATTGCGTCGGAAAGGGCAAAGTTAAAGATTACGATAAAATGCGTTAGATGTCAAAGGTTTAAGAGCATTATAGTATAGTATGGTAGTGAAAAGGGAATAGGGGAGTAAGTGAACTAGAGCAGAAATTAGTATAGAGGGAAGGGGAGGGCGATCGAGTAAATTATAGTGTATCTGTCACTGGGTATAGGATAAATTTTCAAGGAAGAATAGATACATGAAGTGTACTGCCTCCAGTAAAACACTAGCAGTCAGTTAAACCTTTACTGTCATGTTCCCAAGCTGGTAGGTATGAGCAGAGTATCCAACTTGCAAGATGACAACATACACGTACGCGTGAGCGTGCACGCGATTGTGAGGTGAAAAGCTGTAAGAAAATAAATCTTCACAGTTTTGGAAATAAAAAGTTGTACACAAATAAAGTAAATGAATCATACAAATATCAAATAATATTAATACAATATGAGATAGAAATATTAAGAACAAATCAATAGAAAATTATAAAAATACTGCAAGACTAGCATACATGTAAACATTGAACAAACAAATGACTTCTTATTCCTTATACTATTTTATGACATTTCCTGAGTTAATTAAGGCACTTTATAAAAGATCAATAACTAAAGACTAGATACTTTAAATGAAAAGGAAACAAAACATTATGGTAATTTTCTATATTACGTCCGCATAACCGATATCGACGATTTTGGTATCGTTGGATTCCTCTCACTCTATACAATGCAAATATGTAGGTTTTATTGCGCGGAAACCCCCGTTAGCGACAAACTTGGCCCCGATAGCGGGGGCGACGATGTCGGAGCATTATTCTTTGGTATATAACTGAAATAAAGCTTGGTAAAAATATAAGAGTACAATAGGAATGGCACTTACTTATATCACATAATTTCAAGTTATATATCACGTAAAAGACACAACTTTGTTATTAACATATGCTCTAACATCTGAACAATACATTATTAACAGTGTAAATAGTTGACTTACAGTGTGGCTAGCCCAAATCTTCATAAAACAAGAATAATTTAAAAGTACGCAGCACAAGACGTCTCACGTGGCTCTCTAAAGGGGCTCCACGGATTCACAACAATGCGTTTTTGTAGGGCGTTCGTACTACTCTAACGTCACTGTAGCCAACGTTACAAACTAAATGAAATTAAATAATCATTCTCATGTTAATACGTTAAATCAAATAAATTCTTGATCTAAATTCTATATATATATAATATCAGACAAGGAATCCTTGATTCCTTTACATGAAGAGTAAGAGAAGAATCCGGGGAGAGGGGAGGGTGTTAGATATCAAAGATTAGAGTGTGTTATAGGAAAGTATGGTAATGAAAAGGGAAAGGAGGCAAGTAAATGAAGTAGAGCAGTGATAAATAAATGGGAAAGGTTAAGCAAGCAGAGTGAATTGCATTATATCTGTGACTGGGGAAGGAATAGGGATAATAGGTGAGAACGTTAAATATGGTTGTCTTAGTAGTAGGGGATTAGGTATCTGAGAGTTGAGATAAAGGATCAGGAATAGGTGAAGGAGTAATGTCTGGGGGTTCAGTAGGGACGGTAGGGTCTGGGGAAGGGTATTGTGACTGGGGAAGGAGTAGGGACATTGATCAAGGAAAACAGAGGTGGCCGTTGGAGAAGTAGGAGGCGAAGAGTCCAGGGGTTGAGAAAAGGAGACGGGGAAGGGGAAGGTGGTGAAGCCTCAGGAAAAATGTCTGGAGAGGAGGGTCTGTAGGACACTGTTGTGGTAGAGAAGATTCGTGTGAGTATTCAAATGGAAGTGGTAGAGAGGGTGGGGTATGTTGGTAGGTGTAGGAGGAAGAGGGGTGGAAGGAACTTGGGGAAGAGGAGGATGAATATCTGCAAATACTTTGAATGTAGCAGGAGTACGAACAGAGGGATTGGGGATGAGGGAGCGGAGTGTTCCCTTGGGTCATCTTTAGGAAGTTTTGGATGTCTTCAAGGGTTTATGGAGGGGAATTAGGTATAGAGGACTGAGAAACAAAGGTTCTCTTATAAGGAGGAGAAGAGGAGATAGATATCTGAGGAACAGATAAAGAGGGTGTAGGAGAGCATAGAGTGGAACGTTTACGTTGTCTGGCACAACCACTAAAGTGAGGAGGAGGGTTAGGTATTGGGAAAGTGGTAGAGATTGGGTATCTGGATTTAGGATGGAAAATGGATTGGACTGGTGGATAGGGTGAGTAGACATAGGGCGTAGGTTCTGGGTATAGGGGGAAAGATACCTTGGGATTTGCAGAAACGTAGGACTATTTTGAAATAAGTTGAGAAAAACATCGTCGTCATGCTTCCTGTCTGCCTTCACATTCAAACTTATAGGCAGGACAGCTCATATAAAACACAGCGGTCTGTACAGCGAAATGGTTAATGGTTAAAATAAATGTGCTAGACATCTAAGGCATATAGCACTATAGAAGGTATAGTAAAGGGGGATGTCGGGTGATAGTTGCTATGTGTCAACTATCTAGAGTAGTGTTGAAAGGTTGAAGATGGGGAAAAGATTATGGTGGTTTAGGTAAGGGAGTTAGATCAAGTGAAGGATATTTATGCATCTGAGGAAGGAGAACAGGTTGTCAAGGCAGAAGCTGTGGGATTCTGTAAGGATGTCTGATATGTTGGAGGTCGGTGAAGGGAGGATAGGTGTGGAAAAGCAGAGGTACGTGCTGTATTAAAGCGTGGACAGGACAAGAGAATGTGTGGAACTGAAAGACGTTACATAGAGGACATAGGGGTGGGTCTGAGCGTGACATTAGATAGGCGTGTGTTAGGCGAGTGTGGCCAATACGTAAGCGTGCGAGGGCCGTCTCCCAACGTCTGTTTTTGTGAAATGGAGCTGACCAAGAGGAATTGATGGTTTTACAGTATGTAATTTATTGTTGTGGTCTTGACCAAAAAGATTGCCATCGGGTATACAAGAAGGTTTAAAGTGGGGGTAATAATCCGTAGCTGGAATATGTGAGAAGCGTAGTTGAGGTGATGTGGACATTGCGGTATCGTGCAAGAGTATCTGCCTGTTCATTGCCAGGGATTCCAACATGGCTGGGTACCCAGCAAAATCTGACAGATTTGTGACGTGTGGATAGATAGAACAACCAGTTCTGGATCTTACAGACAAGGGGATTGGTCGAGTGCATTGACTTTATGAGGGTTAAAGAATTACGGGAGTCAGTAAAAATAGTAAAAGAGGAAGAGGGGATGAATATATGCGTCTTAAGGCAAAAAAGTGCATTAGTTCTGTAGTAAGGACACTAGATTCAGGAGGGAGGGTGTATTTGAAAGTGCAATTTGGGAATGTTACTGCGAATCCAGCTCCTGAGATGGATTTGGAACCGTCAGTGTAAACATGAATGCTGGAGGAATGAATGGAGACATGGTCAAGGAAATGAGTGAGAAGGATAGAGGGGGGAATATCTGATTTTGGTGGGTCAGGGAAAACTGAGGAGCAAATACAGGGGTTAGGTATAAGCCATGGAGGAATGGAATGGACAGACAGTGGGAGAGGTCGGAGATGAGGGAAGGGGGAATGGGAGAGGAGGGTATCCATGCGTACGGGGAGAGGAGTTGGTAAACGTGGAGAAGAGGTAAAGGTATGAAGTAAGGATTGTGGAATAGTTAGTTTGGTAAGGGAAAATTGGTGAAATCGAGCATAGCATCGGAGAGAGAGAAGGGCTCGACGTCGAGAGAGGGACGGCATGCCTGATTCAGTATATAGGCTCTCAACTGGAGAGGAGCGGAAGGCGCCTAGGGCTAAGCGGAGACCGCTGTGGTGGATTGTATCAAGGTGAGCAAGAAGAGAGGTTGAGGCAGAGGAGTAGATATGGCATCCATAATCTAGAGTGGAGAGAATCAAAGTAACATGAAGATGGAGGAGAGTTTTGCGATCTGAGCCCAGGAGATATGTGAAAGAGTTTGTAAGATTCGGAGGCGACGTTGAGCTTTTTCTTTGATGTACAAGATATGGTCTCGCCAGGACAATTTGGAATCAAATATAACGCCTAGGAATTTGCCAGAAGAACGGTATTGGAGTGGAGCATTATATAAGAAGAGTGGGGGTTTGGGGACCGTACGTAGAGCGAGAGAAAAATGGGGAAAGATTTAGAGGTAGAGAAGCGAAAGCCATGGTTGGTGGCCCAAGAAGTTACTGATGTTATTGCAGACTGAAGGAATTGACAGAGATCTGGTATGGATGTGCCAGATGCATAGATGGTTAAGTCATCAACATATAGTGATGCCTGGCTCCTGGTGGTAGGACTGAGACTATGTCATTTACAGCAAGAAGGAATAAAGTGGTACTAAGCACACTTCCTTGTGGGACGCCTTCGAATTGAGGAAAGGATGATGAGTGGAAGAGGCAATTTGACCTGGAAAGTACGTTTAGAAAGGAAGGATTTAATGAAAACACCCATGTTTCCACGTAAACCTAGGAGGACAATTGTTGGAGGATATGGTATCGCCATGTGGTATATGCTTTTTCTAGATCAAAGAAATGGCTAATACGGATTCATGGCGTGCAAATGCCGATGTAATGTATGTCTCGAAATGGGCAAGTGGGTCTGCTGTACTTCGGGCACGTCGGAAACCAAACTGGGAAGGGGAAAGGAGATTATGAGATTCAGGTACCACATTAAACGGAAGTTAACCATTCGTTCTAGTAGTTTGCACAAGCAGCTAGTTAGAGCTATGGGGCGGTAATCTTGGGGTAGGGTACCTGATTTATTGGGTTTTAAGAAAGGTAGGATAGAGCATCTCGCCAATGAGAAGGAAAATTTCCTGACGTCCATATGTGGTTGAAAATAGTTAAAAGGAAGGATAGAGAGGAAGATGGGAGGTGTCGGAGCATACGATAGTGAATACCATCAGGGCCTTCATGAGTGTTGCGGCACGACTGTAATGCAGCGTTGAGTTCAGAAGAAGAAGAAGAGGATATCAGGATGAAGGTAATAGGGGTGCGTTCCTTGATGGTTTTAATGGAAGAAAAGTGTGGGGAAAGGTGAGAGCCACTACTGACCTGGCTGAAATAGTTGCCCAGTTCATTAGCTACTTCGACAGGCTCAGAGATGAGAATATCTCGAATATGGAGGACGGGTGCAGGATGGGGGGGATGTTTGCCTGATAGTTTATGGATCCGTCGCCAAACAGCTGAAATAGATGTAGAATGTAATTGAGGAAACATAATTTTGCCAGCTATTTGTTTTGCTGTTTTAATTGTACGGCGAAGATGGGCAGATGCTCTTTTAAAGGAAATAAGGGCTGATAGCTGGTGAGGGGTGCCTCGTTTGTAGCGATAGCTGTTCCAGGCTGCTCGTTTTAAGCGGAGCGCTTTGGTGCAATCAGAATTCCACCATGGAACACATTTAGAGGTATAAGGTCTTGAAGTTCGAGGAATGGCTGTATAGGCAGCTCTTAGGATCGTGGTTGTAAAACAATGTAGCATATCTGAAATGGACGGTAAGGGGGTGGAGGGATAGGTATAGTAGAGAGTGAAGTGAAAGTATGCCAGTCAGCTCTATCAAAGCACCAGCGTGGAGGATTAGGAAGTGGTACATATGAAGTAGGAGAAAGGAGTATTGGGAAGTGGTCACTATAGGGGAAGTGGTCTAGAACTGACCAATGGAAATCTAGATGTAAAGTAGGAGAGCATAGAGAGAGGTCAAGGCATGAAAAGGATTGTGTGCGCATGTCAAAGTGTGTGGGGCGAT